TATAAAGTAAAAGCAAGTTGACCTCATAAGCTGCTCTTTGTGTTAAATGTACTTACTAATCTGGTGGAAAATTCTTAAGTAAATTCTAAGTACTTTATAATTTCTATGCTCTTTTTTGGTATTTTTATTATATTTATAGTTAGTAATGTTAGTGTAGAGAAGCGTTTTTGGTTTTCTAAGTTGGTCATGTACTGCTGAACTCTCTTATTGGTTTTATGTATATATTTATTCTAATCACTTCCAGATAACTAAAGGTTGTCTCTTTTCTTTAAATTCTCATATACTTCATTTTTTCCTTATAGTATTAACCAGGAATTTTGATATTATGTCAAGCAGTGGTAGCAATAATGGGCACCCTTCTCTATCAGATCTTAAAGCATATATGTTTTTTGCATTGAGTGTAATGATTGTTGTAGATTTTTGTATATAAATTTTACGGTTTCCTAATTTAAGTCCCTCATAAGTACTGTATTAGTTTTCGATGGCCATGTAACAAATCCCCACAGACTTAGCAGTGTGAGGTAGTGCCCACTTTATCATCTCCCAGTTTTGTGGTCAGAAGTCTGGTTTGCTCAGGGAAGCAAGTCAAGGTAAGACATGTATCTGAAATGATGAAAACTACATGGAAGAGGGCAAATTTGATCAGTGTTAGGCCAGTAGGCTGTTATCAAGTGGATAGTAGCATATATATATATATATATATATATATATATATATATATATAATAACTAGAGGCCTGGTGTATAAAATTTGTACACAGGAGATAGGGGGAGAGGGTGTCCCTCAACCCAACTTGTACCCTCTCCCATCTGGGACCCCTCTAGGGACAATCCATGACTGCTGGCTCCTAACTGCTCACCTGCCTGCCTGCCAGATTGCTCCTAACTGCTTCTGCCTGCTAGCCTGATCACCCCCTAACTGCTCCCCTGCCAGCCTGATCACCCCAACTGCCCTCCCCTGCCAGCCTGATTGCCCACAACTGCCCTCCCCTGCTGGCCTTATTGCCCTCAACTGCTCTCCCCTGAAGGCCTGGTTCCTCCCAAATGTCTATCCTGTAGGCCTAGTCTCCCCTAACTTCTCCCCCCTACGGTTGTCTCTAATTGCTCTCCCTGCCTGCCTGGTCGCTCATAACTGCCCTCCCTGTTGGCCTGTTTGACCCCAACTGCCCTTCCCTGCTGGCCTGGTTGCCTCTAACTGCCCTGCTCTGCTGGCCTGATCACCCACAATTGCCCTCCCCTGCTAGCCATCTTGTGGTGGCCATCTTTGACCACATGGGGGTGGCCATCTTGTGCAAGGGTGAGAGGGTCAATTTACATATTACGTCTTTATTATATAGGATTTTCCCCCTTAACTCACCACCTGCCACATGACATATACATTTTATTTATTTTTAATGTTTATTATTTTGGTATTCTGGGATAAATGACTACAGTATATTTTATTCCCTTGAAAAGTGTCATAGAAAGAAATTGCAATAGTATTTTGTAAGGATTAGCTGCAGAGAACCATGGACAGTTATTCCAAGGAGTTGTGGCATAAGGCTTTACAATAAACAGACTCAAAAATAGTGCAGGTCTGGGAGAAGGGACTGGAATAGCAAATGAAAATACATGGATCCTATGCATGAACCTTCTCTAGAAAGATTAACTTTTTTTTCAGGTATTATACATCTTTTCCCCCTATGTATTGTTCAGTTTATTTATTTATTCATTTTACACACCATTTTCTCATTATCATGAAGGGGTGAAGAGGAATATAAAGTGTTAGATTTGGGAATGTCCCATTTTGAAGAGAGCAGTTTACTCACTGCATGTCCTCTTTTCTTGTTTCTTTGCAACTTTCAAAGTCTTTGGGCAGAGTCAGGAGTGTGTTGTCATTTTGGTTATTGGTTAAGCCTCTACCAACAAATCCAGCTGGAAAAAGTTTATTTGCACAACTGTTTATATTTTGGAACACTGAGGTATAGTTTGGGGTGGGCAACATTTCCCAGCTGTTAAAAAGTTGTGGAATAAGAATTACCATACCCCTTTGTTCTTTTATTCCTCCCTATTGTAATATTTCTGCCTTAACTCTGAATCATTAATCATGTGCAAAATAATTAGTTTTAATGAGTATCCAATAATAAGTGGTAAATGATTGAAATGTTCTTACCTTCTATATTCAACAATGTAGCCATGAATATAATTTAGGTCTGAATAAAGCTCATAATTGAAAAGATATATTCTATGAGAGCCTCTGAATTTCAGTTTGTTACCTGTTTTCTTTTCTAAACCTATTATTCTGGAGTTGCACAAGAGTATGTGTTTTTTTTCTTTTTCTTTTTTTCTGAAGATTCTTGTAGTCACTATGGCAGAAATGAAATAATTTTTGCAAAAATAAACACGATTAAGTTAAATTAGCACAAATATGTTTAAGTCTAAGAGTCATGTGCTGAACACAGGTGGATTTGGTGATTTGTCTGAGGTGCCTTTTCCAAAATTGCCATTGAGGTTAAAATAAAATGACATTTCTCATTTGCTAATACTCAGAGGTGCTGTGACAGTAGTTATCCAAATTAACACAAAGATTAAACTTCTCACATGGAGATGTAATAGAATGGCCTTTTGGCAAAGCTTCCAAATGGACCATTTTAATGATCCAGGAAGACTGTAATGTAATCACACAATTAGTCCCCATTTCTGTGATTATTCAAGTGCCAAACCTAAAGAGCAGTCTCTGGTTGACAATGTTATAAGGGGCTATCACTTGTAAACCAGTGAATTATACTTCAGGGTGCTCTTTCAGTCCCCAAATAACGGTTCCTGAATTAGTCTTCTATGATGACAGAAAGGAGGAAAGGAATGGTCTGGCTCTTGGAATAAGATAACTACATGTGATAATACTTGCTTCACCGACTAGGTGAGACCATGTATAATTGTCATAGAAATTGTTTGTGTGAAAATATATGTTAATAACCTAAATAATGGTTTTGTACCTAAACAAGTTGGACATTCCATCAGATATGGTTTTGATTATATATTCATTTAAATTTCCATAAAAATAATGCTAAGGGGAAATTCAGAAAACCTGCAGTTAGAATTGCCAGAAATTAAAAATTAGTCAAATCTGAATAACTGAAGTTTTGATGTACTAGAAAAACTGCAAAAAAGCACACGTTTTAATAACCACATAGGGATCATGTGCCAATAAATAGCCCTGCTAGTGATATATTTGACATGCCTTTATTATTTACAACATCATAATTTTGCTTTTGCCTCCTAGGGCCTTTGTTCATTCAACAGATATCAACTTTCCTACTGTCTGCACATTGCTGGGGCTGCAGAGAAACAGACAAAAATATGCTTTCAAGAGTATATTTTAGTGTGAGAGACTGAAATGAGAACTAGATACATAAGCAAAATATATCATATGTTAGATAGGATTTCTTAAATATTAATTCCAGCATCACTAGCATCCAGCATGGTACAGTAGACACTCAAAAAGGACTCTCTGCTGTATTGGTTTGATTTTATGACTACGCAAATGGACAGAAACATAATTCTTGATTACCATTGCTTTTCATTGTGAGAAGGCTCTGGAGTCTTGATACTGACTATAAGATATTCAGTTGTAGGGGGAAGGGATGATGGAATAACTTCCAGAAGGATTCCTTAGTGCACATAAGCTCTGTTATCTGTGAGTAAAGTAGCCTGGCAGATTCACAGATTCATTCATATTGCAACCTTAACCATTGACATATTGTATTACATGGCCTAAAAGACTAGATTTTATTGCAAGTGTTATCTATTTCATTCTTTGCAGTTGGCAATGAACATAAACGTTTCTTTCCATGCATTTCTTTGACCTTCGCATATTTGCAGAGAGATTGGATTGTAGATGTGCACTTCAGATGCTTAATCAGGGAACCAGTTAAAGAGAAGCTTGTACTTTGTTGTGTAAATAATGGTGTTGACAAGGGACATTTATCCTTCAACCATTAGTATCATCAGGCCCAAGTAAGACATTTCCTTCTGATGGATGTCCATTAAGAAGACCAAGAAGACTTACTTTTCTTCTTATTTGGGTTTTAGATTTTGTTACATCCTCTCTTTAACCTGGTGGTATAATAGTCTAAGCCTCCCTTAATTTTTCAGTTTTACCTTTTGTTCATTTATTTGTTTTTATAGCCAAATTCTTTTCAACAATTGTGCTGCAGATGTTTAATTAGAAGCCAAAGCTGGGCTCAGTGATTAGACCAGATCTAACATATAGTGGGGACTGTTTATGGAATTTATTCCACAAAATGGTCTCTTTTTCATTATGGGCAGTCAGAAAATGGATATGAGACCAAAATCTACATCAAATCTGAGTGGTAGTTACAGAGGGGAACTCATTTTCTCAAAGCCCTTAGAAAATTCCATAATATTCTTTGGAATGTTTTAGCAAAATTAAGGTTATGAGAGATGTAGAAAAGGGAAAACGAAATAGAAGACATTGGTACCATTGTAGTTACAGAAAATTCTAAAAGTAACATTTCAGAAAAATATGATAGGCCAGGTACAAATTAATATCAAATATTTAAATTTATTTTTTAAAACTCCTATGTTTAGCTTATCTATACTTTTGCTTAATTACACTTTATTTATACAAATACATTTTAATTTTTTTCTTGGAAATATACAAATGTGTGTTGGCTTTTGAACTTAGCTATTCTCAGAACCGCCAGTTACTAGTATCGGTGTTTGCCCTCTAAGGTCTTTCTATTTGTGTACATTTAACTTACCATATGAATTATAATTTTTGTAGTTCTGATGTCAATTTCAATTCAAGGGGTTCAGATGTATGCATCAATGTTTCTGCTGTTGTTCATTTCTTTTTGTCAGTATTTTGTAAAATAACATCCCATTGTGGAAGATGAAATGAATAGCATGTAACGCAGCTGGTTAAGTTAAAAATAAACACAAGAAAACTGCAGGACTGAGAACATGTTTATCAACTGATTTCCCTTGTTTGTTTTGCAGCTGACAATGGCCAACATTGGAATAAATGGAAATCATTCCATGGAGACCTGTGAAACAACTCTCTTTGCTCTTCGAATGGCAACGTGGAATCAAATTTTAGATCCGTGGGTGTACATTCTTCTACGGAAGGCAGTCCTTAAGAATCTCTACAAGCTTGCCCGCCGCTGCTGTGGAGTGCATGTCATCAGCTTACATATGTGGGAACTTAGCTCCATTAAAAATTCCTTAAAGGTTGCTGCAATTTCTGAGTCACCAGTTGCAGAAAAAGTAAATCAGCAATCACCTAGTTTAATAGGACAGCAAGTCAGCATAGGTATGGGACAAAATTAAGAAAAGTATGGCAATATTTTAATTGTTTGGATAACTATTTAAAGCCTAACTGGAATATTCAGGCTTCAGCAAATAGTTTCGGGGGGGCACTTTGGTCAGATTCAGTGTTTGAAATTTGTGAAATTAACTGTTTAATTGCACCTTTTCACTTGTTTTGCCAACTGCAGATAAACATGATGAAATAATGCCATGGAAGGCAAGTTGAAAACAATTTTATTTTCTGCTTTTGGAATGAGTGACTCTGTTGAGTCCTAAAGCATTCACTTGGCCAGTTTGCAAAAGAGCATCTTAAAACTACCACCACCATGAAATGGCTATTTGGGGTCCCTGCTCTGTAGCTGTTCCTTACAGACTAGGTTTTATGAAATGAAGCGCTCTCACATTTTGATCTGGCCTCATCCTGTAGCCTCAGCCAATATAGGTATGGTCATGCCACGTGGGAATCATTGTGGCTTATTATAATGACCTCAATAGAAACCAGGTGTGGCTGTCAGTTTGCCTGATCTTGTGAACCTGTTAGAATGAGCCTATCTTTGTCATATTTGTCACAAATGTGACTGCTTGCATTGGTTATTATGAAGGTGAGTGGTTTCTTGGTAAGTTGTAGATTTGCCTAGTTTACAAATAATCCCCCTTTCCTCTGAAAATTCTAGAGCAAAAAAATAATTTTTAGAGAAACAAAGGCTCTATCTTAGCACATATGGAGGCGATTTGCATTATCACAGTTCCTGAGAAGCTCTGCCATTGATCATGCAAACAGAACTTCAACTAAGTGATAGGTGCAAAGAAGCTTGGCACAGGCACTTTACTTTGAGTCGTCATTTCTTTGAGAAACACAATCTATATGTAAATATGCAAAGACTATCTATAGGTAATGTGTTTTTGCTTTCCATGTGTACACACACACACACACACACACACACACACCAAAGGACATCAAAAATTTCTGTTAAAAGCAGCTTCATTAAATCTGTAAGACAGAATCTTCTAAAGCCAGAGCTACCAGTGTTAAAGGGAGGACTGGCAACAAGCCAGACATTTGGAGATTATTATAATGATTAACCAAGAGATCAAAGGGTAATAAACTTTCCCCAAATTTCTCATGAATACTTTAGACTTTTTCTTCACTTGTTTGTATAATTCAACCCATTTGAGTTTTAGTAATCATTCAAAATGTCCTGGGTCCATCAGAGCATAAGCAGGTAGTTCTGCTTTATAACGGAACTGTAAAAGAATTCATTGTTTTCATTAACTGGGGTATGTTTTAAAATTAATGTTTCCTGTGAGACTGATTTCAAATTCTCCAGGAAATTTGTGCAGTTCAACTAGACTTAAATTATATTCACAGGTTTTTGCTTTTGATTGGTAATGTACATTGGAAGTTATTGTCTACTTTTGTAAATTTTGGGAAATTCTCATGAATAAGTTAAAATAAATTAAGCAAATAATTTCACTGAAGACTTAAAGGCAAGCATTTTTTTCAGTGAATTTAATGGGAAACATATATATACACACTGATACATATATTCTCAATTTAAGACCAGTAAATAATTAATCATACAAATTGTTTTTTCTCATTTATAGAGCACATAGTATATGCTCAATAAATACTTGCCTAATTAAATCACAAGAATTCTTGGTATGAAATAAGCCTGGAATTGCAAAGATTTTGTACGTTTTTAATTTAAATTGATAATTACATGTTTACTGTGAGATATATATGCATATATTTGTGTATGTATATATATTTATATATCCAGTGTATATGCTCTTAAAAGCCATTGCAATTTATGATTGCTGTTATCTATATATATAAAAGCTCAGCAACCAAATGGTGGAACGACCAGAATGCAGTACGCTTCCACAGTGGGAGCACCCCTCAGTTGACCAGGATGAGTGGTGCTCCCTCAGTCAGCTGATCCCCATAGACCATGACCCTCACCAATGCATGAACCCATGCACCGGGTCTCTAGTATTATATAAATGTTCTTTTGTGTTTCAAGAGTATGTAAAGCCCAGAAGAACTTTGAGATGGTTCAGGGACTATATCTATTTCTTACAACTGCTTAAGAGTGTGGGTGTCCTGTGAACTGAGGCTAGGGAACCAAAGCTCCATCCTTCTTCCTTATGCTGGGTAGGAGGCTGCAGCAAACACTTCCATGCATCATGACCTGGGAGAGGTGTGAGGGAGAAACTCATCCAGAGTCCCAGTCCTCTTTCCTGGAGCCTTCTCCTAATCGAATGGCACAGTCATTGTTCTATTACTGTGATGCCCAGGCCACTGTGTACCCATATGGAGAAGATACTAGGACATGACCACATGAGCATGCAAGGTTTGGGAAGTGACAGGAAACTCACTCTGTGCATATCCTGGAATAATTATCTATATTATTTGAGCACAGGTTCAAGACAACTAAAGTATTTTATGATGATGCTAAATCCAAGAAATAGACACCAAAAACTGGAAATAAGTTTAGTAAAAGAATATGCATTTACATTGTTTTAGGCTTTCACCCAAGGAAATGAATACAACCATATGCATATCTGACTTCAGAATTTTATTCCTGCTATTATGTGTATTTCCATGTAGTTAGTACATTTTATTGTATCATGAATAATAGAGTGGAGCATTCACTAATAACTTTCATATAAGTGTTCAAAGTAGAAGCGTATTTGTTCTTATTACTAGACATAAATAGTACAAATAATGTTCAACCAGTTTACCAATTTTGACGTTTCAAGCCCTGTTTTAAAATTCATATTTAGACCAGAGTAACTGGATTTCCCTTGTCATTGAGTAAAGTGATAGCTAAGCAACTTATACTATTTGTCATCTTATTTCTGGGGAATTATATTATTATGGGCAAATGACTTGAAAATGCCAAGCTTTTCCTGAAATTAATGAAGTCTTAAAAAAATAAGACCAAAGAAAGAAAAAGAAAAAAAAATCCAATAGAAAATGCGCTTTTATAATTATGAATTCAGAACCAGATAATGCTGACTCATAATTAGCCATGAACCAGACTTTTTACTGGTGGATTTAACTAGGTAATAGAAATATGCTTTAATTTTTTTTTTCTAAAGGCAGAAATTTGCTTCTACTTATCTGTATTGCAGAAGTGGAAGATACTTAAAAGTTCACAAACACAACACACACACACATTTATATAACAAATGGTCTTGTTTGCCCATTTTCAGACTTAAAAAGAAAAACCTGCTTTAGTTGTGTGTCTAATTTTAGAACCCAAGTAAGAGCACTTGCTTAATACATAGAGTGAACTTTCTGTACAACTTGCTTGCTACATTCACCTCTATTGTCATCATTGCTTAAATTAATAAACTAAGGTCAATCAAATATATAGAATGTAAATATACATTTTCTTTCTTCATCTGGGTGTCAGAATATTTTACCATCTAGTAAATAATGTTGGACTTCAACTTGTTACTGACATAACTTGTTACTCACACATCTACTAAGAGTAGATGAATGTCTTACGTGAATAAATGTATGTTGTGCTCTTCATATTTGTTGGATGGAGTTGGAGAGTAACTAGGGATGTGTATGTTTTGTGGCTTGCATCAGTGTGCCAATCAGAATTTTCGTGCTTTGACTAGTTTAAAGCTTCAAACAAATGATTCTATAATAAACTTGGACTGGTGTTTATCAAGAGTGGTTATTTTTTAGGAAAGTCATTTAAAAGTTGCAACTCTTGAACCTAAACTCCCATTTTTATTTGCTATGCCAGCGATTTTTCAACCATTTTCATCTCATAACACACAGAAACTAATTACTAAAATTCTGTGGCACACCAAAAACTATTTTTTGTGTGTGATGTGATAAAAATAGGTATAATTTTGATTCATTCACACTGGACAGCTATTGTGTTGGCACTTGTCACTTTTGTTTTCCTAAGGAAAAAGAGATAAGTGCCCCTGTCTAAATAGTCAGGTAATATGTTTTCAGAATTCTTGTGGCATACACATGGTGGAGCTGTGCTATGAGATGGAAGAAATTAAACTTGTTTTCCATTATTATCTTTAGTTATGCATCTTCTGCTCACCCCCCTGTGATATCATCTTTCTTTTTCCTATCTCACCTGACCCAGATAGGTCATAATTATCATGGGGATTTGGTCATTTCCAGAACACAGTGACCTAGATGTATCAGGATAGCCAAGCTATATTTGTCTCAGTGCCATCTATCCACACATGTTTGTATCTCACCTATGGCCCCTGCCACTCAGAAGGGAAGCTCTGCTCCTTGTAATCCCTCAGAGACCTCAGGAGACAAAGCAGCTGCCACCGTATATGTTGCTGTTTGTCATGCAGCAAGGGACAAGTTGGCATGGTGCATCATGCCCTGGCTCCTAGAGCTTCCACCTGGAGGGAATGCATATTACTTCTCTAGCCAAAGCTAGTAATACAGCCCTGCCACCTCCACGGGGGCAGATAAATGCAATATGATATGTCCAGGAGAAGAGCTGAAAATAATTGGTGGACAGCACTAATGATTTCTATCGATACATTAGGTAAAATTTTTTTTCCCATTTATGCCTTCCTAATGTAATTCAAACTGGAAGCACATGTGTTTGTCTTTTAAATTTTTTAAAAAATTATTATTTAGGAACATCATTGGAGAAAAAGCTTTAGGATTCACTCCTTTTAAGTATCTTGCCATCTATAAAAAAAAAGGCAGAAATAATGCCACATACTGCCTCTTATGCTGTTTGCAGTTAATAGACATTTTAGATGATAACCCCCCCCCCAAAACTGTAAAATAAAGAGCAAAAAACTTGATTCTTAAAAATGAGTGAAGTGTGCTGAAACCGGTTTGGCTCAGCGGTAGAGCGTCGGTCTGCGGACTGAAAGGTCCCGGGTTCGATTCCGGTCAAGGCATGTATTGATACATTGGTTGCGGGCACATCCTTGGTGGGAGTGTGCAAGAGGCAGCTGGTCGATGTTTCTCTCTCATCAACATTTCTAGCTCTCTATCCCTCTCC